AATAGGGTAAGTTTTATTTTATGCAAACTTTAGTCTACGATCTTTTGCTATTTTTTTATTTTTTAATTCTTTACACAATGTTTATATGGGCGTCCCATTGTTTTTGAAAAAAAAGTACAGGCATTAAAACATAAAATTTAAAGGTTCTTACTACAACATATCTAAAAGTTCTGTAAAAATACTGCAAATAGTACAAGACGGCAAACTACATAGTTACCGTGTTTCTAAATTAAGATGTATCTTTTAAGGAAGATGTTACGTCCATCGAAAATTACAAGAATAATCCTTCTAACCTAGAAACAGCGTTTTCTAGTTTCAATTCAACACAAAACGATGTTACAGCCATTTTTGAAACAAATAAAGAGAATGTAGCACCTTTTACTAAACCTGGATTAGATGTGGATCTTTTTGGTTACGTAAGTTTAAGATACTTTTTTTTGTATGTATGCGTCAAAAAAAAATTCTTAAAAATAATTTTTTAATAAAAACATGCCTTCGCTTTCTAAAATTTTCCAGAAACTTGAAAAAATTGTTTTGACAGTCTTAAATTTATAGGAAGATGATAACAATTCCAATAGAAGTTTTGACTTAAACCAAGATAATTCGGATGAAGATCCTAACTGGTATCCAGAAGAGGATGGCGCTAACCGACTAGCGAGAATAATTAAAACTGCTGGTTCAGGAAATTTTGACGGTTTGTTTATTTTATCCTAAAAATAAGAGTGATCATAATTTTTAATTTGTATTTTATAATTTTAGATTGCTTGCCAAACGACGTAGAAGATGGTATCCATGATATCGAATGTGAGGAATCAGATTGTTCTGAAAAACAAGTTGGTAGTAATACTCATGAAACAAAACCGACCAGTAAAAAAAGAAAACGAGGTATCAGAAAACGTGCAGAGGAAACCAAGAAAAAAAATTTAGGCCTGGCCTACAGAAACAGGAAAGGAGTTTTATGCCCAGCTAAAGTATTTAGACCAATAACAAAATGTTGTACAAAAAATTGTCATCAAAATTGCACCCCTGAACAACAAAATATAATTTGGTCTAGTTTTAATAACAAAGCTCCAGATATGCGTAAACAAGTACTATGTGAAAGAATGACTCTTTCTAAATGCAAATACCAAATAATGAAAGGCAGAGGTATGAAAGGGGGGAAGCCACATAATCGGGTCGTAACTGTTAGTTACTCAGTGCATATAGAACCTCAGAAAATTGTAACTGTGTGCAAAAATTTTTTTATCAATGTCCATGGAGTAACAGTAAACCAGCTAAATCTGCTCGTTAAAAAACTAAAATCGTCAGAGGATGGATTTATAAAAACGGATATGAGAGGACAGCATGTACCTTCTAATAAGTTGGTCGAAGAACGCAGTGAAATTAAGAAATTTATAGATCAATATCCAAGACATGAAAGTCATTATGCAAGGCGAGATAATCCTAATCAAATATTTCTACCGAGCCACCTAACCATTCGTCAAATGCATAAAGAATATCAAGAAGATATATTAAAAAAAGGGTTAAAGAAATCTGCTAGTTATGATGTTTTTCGTGACGTATTCAATAGTACCGGGTATAAATTTAAACAGCCCTACATCGATACATGTCGCAAATGTGACGAATATCAAACACTAAAAAAGAATGCTAGTACTGAGGCAGCTAGAGCAAAAATTAATGAACAACGGGACGACCACATTAACGACGCTAATAAAGCCTTTGAAAGCAAACGAAAAGACAAAGAGATAGCTAAAAATGATGAAACAAAAAGAGTACTGGTTTTTGATTTACAACAAGTCTTACCAGCTCCCTATTTATCAACTAACATAGTCTACTATAAGCGTTTATTATCTGTGTATAATCTTACTATACGTGATTGTTCTTCCACTGAATCGTCTGTTTGCTTTATGTGGTATGAAGTCATTGGAGGCAGAGGTTCTGATCAAATTGCCTCATGCCTCTACAGTAAAATAATGAGTTTATCAGAGATCGTTCAGCAAGTAACAACATATTCGGACACGTGCGGAGGACAAAACCGCAACATTAATATGGCTGTTATGTTTTTGTATGCCATTCAGAAGAAACCAACTCTCGAAATAATTGATCAGAAATTTCTTTTGCCAGGTCATACACGCCTTGAGTGTGATAGTGACCACGCACGAATTGAAAGATGTAAAAAGCAAATTTCAAATGATTTTAAAATAATGGTACCACGGGACTGGTTTCAGTTTGTACGATCACTTAGGGGCAAATCCAAATTTACAGTGGTTGATATTAGACAAGAAGATTTTCTGGCGTTTTCCAAGCTCTTACGTGACATTCTAGTCAAACGCACAAGCGACACTGAAGGTGAAAAGATATCTTGGCTTAATATTAAATGGCTAAGATATACCAAGGAGTTTGGGTTAATTCAGTTTAAATATACCCTTGACGATGAAGCGCCATTTAAAACTCTAGATATAAGAAGGGGAAAAAGAAGAGGTCGACCATCACTGGCTACCATAACTGTCCCTCGCTCATACAATAGCCCCTTGGGTATTAATCCAAAGAAAAAGAAGGACCTTTTATCGATGTTAGACCTGATAGACAAAGACTGCCATGCCTTTTATGAAAATTTGCCAACCACATCCAACGCAAAAGAATATGACGAATTGTGCGATGATGCCTTGGATTCGGATTTAGAAGACTAATTGGTTATACAAATCCAATTTGTAATATTTCAAGCATTAAAATAAAATATAAATGTCTTGTTTTTCATTTCCCTTTCAAAATAATATATACATAAAACTATTAATTTCTAAGATGGCAAAAGCACATATATCTAAAATATCTAAGATATTCCAAAAACTAGCAAATAATCTCTCTTCATGTTTCACACATTAGAAGTACATTCAGTTCTTTGTACTATTGCACAAAAAACATAACAATACCTTTTATCACCGAATTAATATTACGTTTGAAACCTTAAAAGTGCTCTCCTGAAAACTATCAAAAATTGACATATATGGTTTCGCCATCTTTCCACAGAATTATGGGTGTGGTTAGGGGGGTGGTTTTCATCGATTTTTTCGTAAAAAATGAGGTATTGACCTTATTTTCATCATAACTCACTCAATTTTTGAGCTAGAGTCTTTTTTATGATAGGTCTATTTATGCCCTTTAAAAAAGGTTTTGTGAGTTTTCTTCCAAAAATGCATCATTTTCCCGATATTTGACTTTGGATCTTTCAAATTTGGCATTTGAAGAAAACCGCTGAACATTGATAGGCCGTATTTCGGTTCCTATTATATCGCAAAAACATTTTAAAAAATGAATTGTATTTGTCTTTTTAAAAGCTACAAATTTGTTCTCTACAATTTTTTTGATAAAATGCACCATTTTCGAGTTATTCGCGAAAAATCGATTAAAAACGTGGATTTTTTCGTCTAAAAGTTGTTACTTTCAATCGCGAATAACTTGAAAAATATCATTTTATAGCAAAAATGTATAGCACATTTTTTTTAGAATTTTTTAATCGAAACCTGTAGTTAAAACGTAAAAAAAAATTTCATCCCGGAGATGGGGTGGCAACCACCCCCTAGGCTTTGGCGCACTTTGGTTCGATATAGATTTTGATCCTTAGGCTATTACCTACCTTCTTTTAAATTTCAAGTCAATCTACGCAGCACGAAAAATTGTTAGGTGAAATGCTTCATTTCCTGGACTATAACTGGTTTGACAGCATAATAAAATCGTAGATTTATGTGTAGCTTTCAATTTTTATGAGTTCAGAATCCAACAGCCCGCTGAAGTATGGGAGTAGATAGGTAGCCACTTCAGTCCACTTTTTTCCCCAGATTCTGGGGAAAAACCGCTCGCTACCCTATGGTGAATATGGCAAATTTCCCCAGACCCCTGACACAGATTTCCCCAGATTCGACCTAACCTAACGTAACCTAACCAAACGAACCTAACCTAACCTAATTCTTCTTCTTTTACGAATTCTTCTTCTTTTACGTATGACCTAACCTAACGTAGCCTAACCAAACCTAACGTAACCTAACCAAACCTAAACGCGAAGATAGCTTCAATTCTTCTTCTTCTTTTACGCAACATCAATTCTTCTTCTTCTTTTACGTTTGACCTAACCTAACTTAACCTAACCAAACCTAAACGTGAAGATAGCGTCAATTCTTCTTCTTTTACGCAACATCCATTCTTCTTCTTTTACGCAACGTGAAGATAGCGTCTATTCTTAACCTACGAAGCGCGTACTGTGTGTGTGTGTGTGTGTGTGGTGTGTGTGTGGTGGTGTGTGGTGTGTGTGTGTGTGTGGTGTATTAAGACAGAGACTAAGAAACGAATAAGACAGAGACCAAGAAACGAATACACAAAGTATAAAAATACACAAGTTATAAGCCTTTATATTAAGACAGAGACTAAGAAACGAATAAGACAGAGACTAAGAAACGAATACACAAAGTATAAAAATACACAAGTTATACGCCTTTATATTAAGACAGAGACCAAGAAACGAATCTAAGACAGAGACCAAGAAACGAATACACAAAGTATAAAAATACACAAGTTATACGCCTTTATATTAAGACAGAGACCAAGAAACGAATACAGAAAGTATAAAAATAAAAAAATACATGTTATAGACGAAACCTACCAAGAAACGAATACACAAAGTATAAATACGCCTTTATATTAAGACAGAGACCAATAAACGAATACATATAGTATAAAAAATACAAGTCATAAGCCTTTATATTAAAATGCAAAATGTTGCAATAACAGACAAATAAGAATAATTGTTGCAATACCAAGAAATAAGACTAAAGGCGTAAAATATAACATACTATGGAATGCAAAAAGTTAAAACTATATATTTTCTCATTTTTCTCAGAGTATAATCATCAATTAGACGCATTATAAAAATAATAAAAAAAAGTAAAACCGCAAACATTATCCTATATAACTAGGGAACAATATTATTAATTTGAATAGTTGCTACAATGAAGCCTATACAATCAATAGTGTTTTTGGGTGGTAAGAAAGGGCCAGTCAGTTATATCCTCAATTTTTAAAATTTAGATTTTTTTTAGTGATACAGGTACAGGTACACTTCGTACTAGCTATGACGTTAGTACTAACACGTAAGTAAATAGTAAAACCAGAAACTATAATACTGATATATATATATATATATATATATATATATATATATATATATATATATATCAATATTCTTTTTTTTCAGAGGAACCAGGCATGTATTGTAAGTATCTATAAGCATTCTTAATATACTATACTTACATATATATATATATTGATTTTAGATGAGCAACTAAGTGAGTATACTCTAATAATTTAGATCACTTGAAAATCACTACTTTTTTCAGTGAACAGGGCTGAGACAATGACCATAGGTAAGAATCGATTACCGATTATTATTATTAGTATTATTAGTAATAATTTTTTGTTTACAGTGTCGGCTATACTAGGATGTAAGTATAAATAAAACGGGGGAAAAAAGAGAGAGGATATTTATTCAATTCTTTGTAGATGTGTTGTCGTTAATAGGTAAGTAAGCCCTAAGCATAGTAAAAAAAAAAGTACTAATTGTTGTGTAGCTTTAGCAGGTTATCTATCGACGCATGTTTTGACATGTAAGTTAAACACTAAAATATCATTTAGACGATACCTAATTTTTAATTCTTTGTTACAGACATGAACATCGAAGGTAAAAACGTTTTTTGAATTTTTTGTTAATTGTAAATATACAGTTTTATTTACTTTACAGCTATAGGAGTATTTGGTAAGTATGTTTGTAGTAATTTGTTAAGATAAAAAAATCTAGTATTAGTGACACACATATTTCATTGTATTTTTTTTTAGAACGAGGAGTGTATATCCTGATTTTGCTGGTTGTAAGTAAGTACAAACGTGTATAACTATGTATGGAACACAAACTGAAAAACTATTTTGCAGATGCAGCAGAACTAATAGGTATGCTAGCCTTAGCCAACCAGCTGTATTGAGGTAAGATTGAATATTATTATTATTATTATTTTGAATTTAAAAAATATAATCTGGATTTAAAAAAACTATGTGCTCCTTTCGAACTTGTTTTTTTATTAATAAAAATTTTTACAGTTAACCACAAGAAGACCGTCAATTTGACAATTAATTCATTTTTTAACTTTTTATTAAATTTTTAAAATTCTTGAAAATAAAATCACTAGTACGATATTTTTTGTCTATTGTTGTTAAAGGTAACATTTATGTGTATATATATATATATATATATATATATATATATATATATATATATATATATATATATCTAAACAAAAAAGAAGGTGAATTATGAAGAGACACGAACACTGAGAAGAAGAAACGCTGCTGGTAAGATTTTTTTAAATTTCACTCAGCATGTCAGTAATTTTATAAAATTGAAAAAAGAAAATTGTGGAAAAACTTACCTTACTGCAATGATCTGAAAGGGTGTAGAATCCTACACAGGGCACTTATTTGTATATCTTCGCAGCTATCGCGAGAAAATAAAAAGTCTAGTTGTTATGTAGGGAAAGTGTTACGGACGAGAGAAAACTAAGGCTGAGAAGGAAGAGCAGCTATCGCGAGAAAATAAAAAGTCTAGTTGTTATTTAGGGAAAGTGTTACGGACGAGAGAAAACTAAGGCTGAGAAGGAAGAGGAGCTATCGCGAGAAAATAAAAAGTCTAGTTGTTATGTAGGGAAAGAGTTACGGACGAGAGAAAACTAAGGCTGAGAAGGAAGAGGATGAGGAGTAAAAACGTGCACAATGGTGGCAGTGGAGAAATTATCAAGGGGCTGTTCTAATAAGCCAGTATTATGGATATAATTGATCGTTAAGACGATAACTGAATCGACCACGAACTGAATTTGGAGCACTTCCCCCGTAACAAAATCACGACGTAAACGTAGATCGTTCGTATAAACGTACTCGTTGACACAATACGAGAAGGTAAAAATCCGATCACGTGAAAAAAAACTCAGAAAATTAATTACTACCGGGTGGATTGTCACATTTACGAACTCACTACTGTTTAATAAAACTAACATTAAATAGTCAGCCATACCGTTTGAACGACAAATGCTAAATGACCAAAGCGTCTATTTTATAAGCCCATGATGTTATGGCTCCAGATGTTTTTATTAACAGAGAAATTTCCGTGAATCATTCACACATAGATGAAGAAACAGAAATACTTGTAATATATATAAATATATAAATGTTAGCCTAAGATACCTAGAAATCTCTCCAAAACCTTTAAACATTTCCTTACTTTTCCTATTCAACCTCTCCCACTAACCCGACAGACACAAGCTGTGGGTTCTCGTCCCGTCTGTTGTTACGGTTGAAAATAATGTCCAAACTCTAAAGTGTGAACATTATTTTCAACTAACCAAACAGCTTTCCTTTATTTGTTATTTGTAAAAATGTCATTTATATAAACAAAAAAAAAACAAAGCACAAAACAGAATGAAAAAAAGGTTAAAATTTGCACAGATAAAAAAACAACTAGGTAGAATAACAGAAAATTATTAGTCTATAGATTGTATGAAAACTGAATTAATATTTTAATAATTTTTTGTAAATTTCCAATACAAAGGATAGCATGGTTAACAAAGAAGGAAAAAGGAAAACATTAAAAGATAAAACAACTCTTTACAACTCTTTATTGTTGTTCTGTAAAAAAAATACACAACATATTAAAAAAAAAGTATTAAAAATATATATACACAAAAGTACCTTTTAATAGCCAGACCAGCACGCTGGCCTGGCGTACGCCTAACAGAATTCGCACCCCTTTATAGGTGCCTAGGGGCACCATATCCGCAGGTGTTGCGGCGTTCGGGGCAGCCTCGCCCCGCAGTACTATCATTGGTAGGGTCTGAAACAAAACAAAAAAACCTATTAAAAAACAAGATTAAAATACATGTATCTAAAATTTTGTAGCGAGCAGATTTAAAAAAAAAACAGCGACATCTAAGAAGAGCAGACCTATTAGGCATAACAGTATACGTTTCAAGTAATTACCTATATCAACATATAAAAATAAAACAGTAGAAATTAACAAAAATTCAACGTTATGCAGAAGAAGAGCAGACCTATACGTTTCAAGTAATTACCTATATCAACATATAAAAATAAAACAGTAGAAATTAACAAAAATTCAAAAAAAAAACATCGTTATGCAGAAGAAGAGCAGACCTAGGCATAGCAGTATACGTTTCAAAATAAAACAGTAGAAATTAACTAAAATTCAACGTTATGCAGAAGAAGAGCAGACCTATACGTTTCAAGTAATTACCTATATCAACATATAAAAAATAAAACAGTAGAAATTAACAAAAATTCAACGTTATGCAGAAGAAGAGCAGACCTATACGTTTCAAGTAATTACCTATATCAACATATAAAAATAAAACAGTAGAAATTAACAAAAATTCAACGTTATGCAGAAGAAGAGCAGACCTAGGCATAGCAGTATACGTTTCAAGTAATTACCTATATCAACATATAAAAATAAAACAGTAGAAATTAAAAAATTTACCTATATCAACATATAAAAATTTTACAAAAACTTACTCGCTGGTGCGGGGTGAGGTTCGCCCTTATCCTATTTCTGATTGCCGGTTCTGGAAAAAGATAGGTATTTAAGACACTTGACTAATAAGTTTGTAGAGTAAACTTACCCATTATTAGTTGGTTAGAAATTGTCGCATAAAATACAGCATCCCGTCTTTTTATGCATTTTGAATAATTAGTCAGAGAATACCAAAAAAAAAACATGCAGTCTTAGATATTTGACCGCAAGTATGTTTAAATATATCATGAGAAAATCGAAAAGTCACATATGATCCAGATGCATTTAAGGTCTGCGAATCATATGTTTGATGATATTAGTTTATTCAGCGGTTCTAATTGCTTGTTAGACAGGATGCAGTTGCAATAAACTATACATTTCATAGATAAAATTCTTAGATAAAAAATGTGTCATGCAAATTAAGAGCATGAATATTCCTGGATTCGCAAACAAAGAAGGCTAATTCTATTACTACACTGAGAAAAGTATTTAAACAATTTTATATTCGATAAGTAGGTTCTGTATTTCTTTATCTGTTCAGTAATGCTATTATGTTTTAACAAATAACGACATAAGAATACATAAGAAATATATATTATTATAAGATATAATAAGCAGCGTGTATTAAAAACATAGTATTTAAGTATTTTAAACATTGTGAGTAAGATAATCATTAAACCATAAGATGTTTCACAATTGTAAGCCACTTATGTGCAAATGCGACCCCAAGTGCTCAGTCAATATTGAGGTGACATTTTTTTGCCAAATATGTAAAACATCATTTACGAAGAATATTACAGACGATGTATTTAGACCAACGCTTCACCCCCGTTGTGGTTATCACGCCATGCCTACAACGTATAAATTTACGTGTGGAGGAACGGTGCATACTGTTGGTATAGCTACTCAGTTTTTCCTAGCCAGTGATACCGAAGATGATTCTGTAGGAAGTACTGACGAACTTAGTGACTGAGTAAGTAGTTTATGTGAAACGAAGAAACAGAAATACTTGTCAACGGGATGGATATACACCTATCCAAACATATTTAAGGTATTGGTACTGTTGGACGAGTCCATTTAACTCACAAAATAGGGGAGTTCGCTATGCAAACGGCAAACTTTTTTTTCAATTTCATTTAAATCTATAACACAGATAAGGACAAATAGCAGTTTTATGTAATAATTGAATGTTATGTTATTATTAAGTGATGTGTCTTTAAACAAACTCGCCCTAGTTTTTCAAAATCACTAATATTTGGCACGTTTCAAGGTCAACAAAGAGGTATAAAAGAACGCCCTAATAGAAGCCCTGTTCATTCTGCTGTCAACCTTCAACGAGTACGTCACGCTATAACTTTGACTGTGAACGTTGTGATTTGTTAGTGTCCAGTGTTGTTGTTGTTGTTGTTCTCAAGGCGATCATCATGGTCTGGTCTTTAATTACCACAGGTAAACGTTTTATTTCTAAATTTAACACTTATTTAAATTCGTTTCAATTACGTTATGAAGAGTGCAAAGGTAATTTAAATATTGATTTAGCAAAGATATTAGAAAAAGGTATACAGGATGCTAAAGAAGGAGCCGGCTTTCAAAAAGGGGATAAAATTCGTATAATTGTTCGTAATGAAAATTTTAAACATCCCATATCAACAGGTACTGAAACAGATTTAAATACGGATAATATCTTGGCTCATATCGAAAACATTGTAACTTCTGACGAGGCCGTTCAAGTCGAAGATACTATATTTGATATACAAATTTTCAAGATACCTAGGGGTAGCGGACGACATAAAATTATAAATTTGGCAGAGGACCGTCGCACCAAGAAAAGCATTACCCAGATTAAAAATACCGACACTTTATGCGGGGCTCGAGCAGTTATAGTGGGCTTAACATACGTCACAAACGAGATTTTGGGCCACAAATTGATCAACCGTGATGTTCGTAACATACGTATAGGTCGAAAATTGCAGACTGATTTGGCCGAAAAACTTTGCAATCTGTTGGGCGGTTGTTATAACGATGGCTTTACGTTGGATAATTTTAAGAAGGCAGAGGAGTTATTGGATGTGCAGATAAAGATTATTTGTGCAGAAAATTTCAACACAATCATATACGAGGGCCCCGAAAAAACAGCCAAGATTTATTTGTATAAAAACGGGAATCATTTTGATGTTATAAACAGTTTGAAAGGTCTATACGGTACCCACTTTTACTGCGAGAAATGCGACACCCCTTATCAGGGCAAAAATAAGCACAAATGCAAGAAAGCACCACTTTGTACGATTTGCAAACATCCCGAGCATGACTTGACTACGAAAAGCAAAGTTTTGTGCAAGGACTGTAACCGTTATTGCTACAACAATGAATGTTTAAGAAACCATACAGAAGCTTGCAAAGAAGTATTTAAATGTGACAAATGTAATAAACTATGCAAGAGAGATAAGGAGCATGTATGCGGTTACTCCATGTGCAGAAACTGTAATACCTTTGTAGAAATAGCTACGCATCAGTGTTACATGATGAAAAAACCAGCCAAAGGAGGAGTTTGTACTGTAGCCTGTACTTGCAATAACAGATCAAGCGTGATAAATTCAGGCTGTAAAGAAAATCACAAACAGTCACAAAGTTGCAAAGACCCTTGTATATGTAACAATCTCTCTGAAGAAAAAATAATGAAATGCTCTTACAACGAAAGATATATATTCTTTGATTACGAGGCAATGCAGGATACAGGCATTCATGTACCGAATCTTGTAATTGCGCAGGATTTCGACGGACATAAATTTGTTTTTAAAGACAATGAAGGGTTCTGTAGATGGTTAATTTCCGAGAAACATAGAAATTATACAGCGATAGCCCACAATAGTAAATCATACGATTCATATTTCATTTTAAAATATTGCGTGGAAAACACGATAAAGCCGTACACTATCTACAACGGGTCAAAACTTATGCTTTTGGAAGTCGAGGCTCTTAAACTGAAAATAATAGACAGCTCTAATTTTGTAGCCGGCCCCCTGTCCGGTTTTCCTAAAACTTTTGGTCTGCATGAATTAAAGAAAGGCTATTTTCCTCACTTTTTCAACACTCCTGAAAATACTCACTACGAAGGCTGCTTACCAGATATTGCGTATTATGGACCCAACACAATGAAAACAAAACAAAGATCTGATTTTAAGAAATGGTACGATGAGCATAAAAATGACCACTTTGTGTTACAGAAAGAGCTCCATACCTATTGCGATTCAGATGTTGATATTTTACGACGTGGGTGTTTGGAATTCCGTAAAGAATTTTTAGAAATAGCAAACATAGACCCATTTCAATATCTGACTATTGCCAGTGTGTGTATGGCCATATATAGATCTAAATATCTTCGAACAAACACCATTGGCGTTGTAAAGCAGGAGATAAAGGAGACATATAGCAGGGCATCAATAAAATGGCTCAATCAATTTTCTAACGTCCAACATGCTCTTAATGGCGGAGAAGTGACAATTTGCGGTGCAAAAGTTGATGGTTTCTCGGAAGAGTCGAATACTGTGTACCAGTACCACGGTTGCTTCTGGCATGGCCACCCAGAATGCTTTAAGAACGACACAGTTAACCACGTCAACAATGAGACAATGAGTGACTTGTACGAGAGAACAATAAGACGATCAAAACAAATAAAAGAAGCAGGGTACAACTTGGTAGAAATGTGGGAATGTGAGTGGTTAAAATCCAAAGAATGTAAAAGCGCCGCAGATCCTCAACTTATTGAACCCTTAAAGCCTCGTGAAGCATTCTTTGGCGGTAGAACAAACGCCATAAAACTAAACGTGACTGGGAAAAAGCTCAGATACATAGATATTGTATCACTGTATCCAACCGTACAATATTACGATCAATATCCAGTTGGCCACCCTACAAAAATACATGCACCTGAAGTATACGATCCTAATTGGTTTGGTCTAGTACATTGCCAAATACTACCGCCTACTGATTTATACCATCCTGTATTACCTGTCAAAACTGACAAATTAATGTTTCCACTGTGTAATCAATGCGTCTTGGAAGATTGCGAAAATTGTGATCATGATGACTCGGAAAGAATGCTGAGGGGTACATGGACAACTCTAGAAATTAATAAGGCCTTAGAAAAAGGGTATAAAATAATAAAAATTCACGAGGTGTGGCATTTTGAGCAAACATCGACAGATTTGTTCAAGGGATATGTCAAAGATTTTATGAAGATCAAATTAGAAACTAGTCCACATACGTATGCCACAAATGAAGAGTACGCTCGGGCTGTAAAAGAGCAGATGGACATAGAGCTCGATTTATCTAAAATAGCCCCAAATCCCGGTAAACGAGCAGTCGCTAAAATATGCCTAAATAGTCTATGGGGTAAATTTGGCCAAAGAATGAATATGAAACAGACAGAGTATGTTGTGGACATTAAAAGATGGTACGAAGTTTTGATGAACGATAAAATAAATTTAACAAACGTCACATTTATTAATGATAATATAGCACAAGTCTCTTACGATTATAAAGACGTGTTTGTGGAAGACCCAACATCTACGAATATTTTTGTGGCATTATTTACGACCAGTAACGCTCGTCTAAGACTGTACGAGATGATTGATAGGCTAGGAGAAGCAGTTGCCTACTTCGACACAGACTCCATTGTTTACATTGATGATGGCCTAAACACTGTCGAAACAGGTGAAATGTTGGGCGATTGGAGTGATGAGTTGCCTGGAGATGACTACATAGTTGAATGGCTCAGTACAGGTCCTAAAAGTTATTTTTACAAAACAGCCAAGGGCAAAGAGGTGACTAAAATCAAAGGTTTCACTTTAAACTACGAAAACAGCCTAGTACTTAATGCCTCCGCCATGAATGACATCATACACGATCCAACCAAAGAAATTAAGCTCACGTATGACCAGATCGGTAGGGATACAGAGACCAAAGATATTGTTACGAGAAAAAGGGTATCAAAGACTTTCAAGATGGCCTACAAGAAACGAAAAATAATACAAAGTGATGACTCCTTAATTGACACAACACCTCTTGGCTTTCAAAAATTATAATAATAATATTACGCATTAGACATTGTACCTCATTCTTTATTAGACGCTGTTACAGGAAAGACGTGTTTTGTCTCGCTCGTGTTTTCGATAAATTTTGATTTTGTATAAATTAACAATGTCTGATCAATGGTCAATAAATATTATAAATCAGCGAGAAATAAAAAAATTCAACGCTTATCTATGCACTTTTCAAGTTAATTGTGACAACTTTAAAATAGGTGAAGGTTTAGAACAAGACAAAGACTATCTAAAAAACCATTTAGAGACCGCTCTTGAGAATATAAAAAAGCAAGCTGGCTACACAACAGGTGACAAAATCAGAATTGTTGCCTTAAATGATGACTTTAGACACCCGATATCGACAGAAACAAGTTCAAGTGCCAATATGTCAAAGTTATTAGAACAAATTAGCAATATATCGACATCTAACGCTGCTGTCCACCTGAGAAATACAAAATTTGATGTACAAATCTTGAAAATACCTAATCCGAAAAACCACTGATCTTCCTATGATGATGATGATGACGTTAGACACCCGATATCGCCAGAAACAAGTTCAAGTGCCAATATGTCAAAGTTATTAGAACAAATTAGCAATATATCGACATCTAACGCTGCTGTCCACCTGAGAAATACAAAATTTGATGTACAAATCTTGAAAATACCTAATCCGAAAAACAATGATCTTCCCCGGGTATGGTAACTTTCTGCAGTATCAACGATGATGATTATATGAGATAATGGTTCCAAACCCAAGTATCAAGAAAGAAAATATAACAAAAATTATTAATATTGTATAAAGTTGAAAATTATGTACATAAAATAAAAATTATTGTAATCTTTAAAGGTATTAATACAATACATATATAAAAATTGTAAAATTTATGGA